CTGTCGGCATTAGCATCATCCAAGGTGTCCAAACACTAGCTAAAGATGGCCAAGGTCGTTGGCCTTTATCAATGTCACGAATCCTGAACAACATTCAAAATGTTTTAGCTAGTGTTTGGACACCTTGGATGATGCTAATGCCGACAGTACTCCAACTTTCAAGCTTTATAACTCAAGATTTATTTCATAAAAAAATATTTCATTTATGTGTTTTGAAAAGTTCTCGAGACGTGCTATAAGAACATGTAATGAAAAATTGGGGGTTCCATTTAAAAAATTCAAAGTGACCTTATCCTGACCTTGACGACGCCACTCGGGGTCAAACCAATGTTATCATCTTATGTCCTCGAAACCAAACAACTTTTGTCTGAAAAATTTTTCTCTCCCGGGCTTGATTTTCGAGATATTCGACTGGATGGATTAAAATGGTCCACCCAGTATATGTTTGATACATTTTATTATTGTAATTTTATGTGTTTATTTATTTATTTATTATGAAATTATTGAGCTACTAAACGTCTACATGTTACATATGTTTCCTGGTGAAAATTGCGGACAGAAACGGACAGAAAATGCATGCTATCCGTTTCTATCTGTTTTACTATGCGTTTCTTAATCTGCAATTACGGATAAATGCAGATAGATTGTGTTCAGACCCGTTTGCGCATCAGCAGTAAGAAATGGATAGGATGCATATATACACATTTGCAGACAGAAACGGACAAGATGCGTTGTGACACCGCAGTCCGCTGCGGCGGAGCAGCGTCCCGTCGCCGTCATAAGGCGCGGGTTTGCGCCCCCTTTTGCCGGACCGGCAGCCGCGTTGTCGAAACGAGACCGAGATCTCCGGGAGGCCCGAATTTAAACCGCGTGCTTTTATTAACTCTTTTGGAACCTCTTGTATGTACCACGGCGCCTCACCGGACAAACGGAGCGACGTAGAAGAGGAGTCAAGGCCATCGACGGAGGAAGAGTGCCTGGAGTACAAGCGACCTGGCGCCGGAGCTAAGGGGGCACGCACCGGGCACGCGGCGAGCAGGTGACAGAGCGCGCACACGCGGAGCGCGTGACCACGCGCAAGGATGCAAGATTTGTCAAGAGCGCGACCGGGACGGCGGGCGTTGGAACTGAGGCCCGCGAAGGGCGATACGGCCGGCGATTTCCCCAGGGCCCGGGGTCATCGCCGCGAGCTGCCGGGGCGAGATGGCCAACTCGCCTCGGAATTCAAGGGCAAAGGACGAGCCCAGCTGAAACCACGCCGCTACATCCCGGATATGGAGCGACCTCGCGAGGGCGCGAGGCGCCCACACGCCGAGTGGCTGATTACGCCCGTGCCGCGACAGGACCCCCGCGGCGCCGTGATTGGTCGCGGCCGACTGCGCCGCTGTGTTGCGCACCCCCCGGGCTGGGGGTGCAGGCATCTATCACAGATCGAGCGCGATCGACGCCGCTTTTGCGTGTGAACGACCCGAGCGAGCGGGCGTGTGAGCGAGCGATCTGGCGAGCGGGAGCCCTGTCCGAGCGAGAGAGAGAGAGAGAGAGAGAGACCAGGACGAGCGGCTGTCGGTCCGGAGGACCCTGCAAGGACAAGGAGTAGATCGTGCCGATGAGGTGACCCTCTTTATTAAGTGTAAAGCCACGGGCGGATCGAGAATCTTGCTCGCACTCTGCGGACGTGAACGCCATTTTCGCGTTAGAGTTTCGTCGCGTGCGCCCCTTTGGCGACGCGTATTTCGTAGCTGTTCTTTGGTTTGGCGTACCGGCGTCCGTCCTCAAGTGCGAGGATTCTTATCGAATTGTGCCGTGAGCTATCGGGAGTGCCGCGGATCGTACATCGAGCCACCCGGAGATCATCGTCGCGAGTTCGCCGCAAAGCCCTCGCGCCCGAGCGCGCGAGCGTTAGACTAAGTGTGTGAGTACTCGGAATCACGAGTGTCGTGCGTCGCGCTGTATTGTGATATTGCGCGCGATTTCATTGCGTATCGGTGTAAACCATTTTCCATCTGTTTCGTTTCCGTATGAGTGTCCGACGCGTAAACTTACGATTGACTTTATCGGTTATACTTGTTGTCGTTAGACCTCGGTACTCGCGTCGTACCAAGCCCCGTCCGTCCTTGTACTATCGCGCCGTCTAGTTTCGATTGCGTTTCCTTTTTTGCGCCGGCCGAATTTCATGTCAGTTTCTTTTCCTTTTCTTTCGCTACGCTGGAATTTATCGCGTCGCCAGATTACCCGCGTTTAATAGCGTCGAACCAGTCTTTTCTTTTCCGTTATTTTTCTTTATTGCCGAACTGTATTATATTTTTCTATTTCTTACCGCCTTTCTAAGCGGTTAATAAACAGCATTATTATTTTCTAAATTGAAAGTACGAATTCTTTCGCCCGACCAGCACCATCCTATCGCCCGTCATCTAACTCGCCCTTAGTCTCGCCCTGCCTCTCTGCCGTTAGGTAGAGCCGGCCGGCCCTCGTGCGATCGACCTCGGGAGTGGCGTTTGTCCGCGGAGTGTAGAATATTGTCGCGCGTAAAAATATTTCTCGCGCTATCGCGTTAACGTTGCGTTTTGCGAGTGATGTGCCATCGCGCACGTCTGGCGCCCAATTTTCGCGTCGCTACTCCTTGTCGGTCGCCGGAGGGACAAGACTCGGAGGACTACCATCTTCCCTCCCGAAATCGTACGCGATTTCAATCTTATCGTTTTGATCCGCGCTCGCGCGAACTATATATCTCACGGGAGCGCGTGACAGCGTATATGTATTTGCAGACAGAAACGGACAGGATACGTATTTGCAGGAAGAAACGAATAGGATGAGTATACGTATTTGCAGACAGAAACGGATAGGATACGTATACGTATTTGTAGATAGAAACGGACAGAAGGCGTATACGCATTTACAGACAGAAATGGACAGAATGCGTATACGCATTTGCAGGAAGAAACGAATAGGATGAGTATACATATTTGCGGACAGAAACGGATAGGATACGTATACGCATTTGCAGACAGAAACGGACAGGCGCGTATACGTATTTGCAGTTAGAAACTAATAAAATGCGTAAATGAATCCAATTGCAGTCAGAAACGGACAGAATGCATGTACATATTTACAGTAAGAAACGGATAGAAATCGCAGTTGTCCATCCGTTTTTGCGAACGGAAACCGACAGATTGTGAACACAATCTATCTGCATTTATCTGTAATTGCAGATTAAGAAACGCATAGTAAAGCAGACAGAAACGGATAGGATGCATTTTCTGTCCGTTTCTGTCCGCAATTTTTACCAGGAGTTGTCATGCTGATTGGCACATCAAGATTTGTTATTTTTTCACAGTATAAACACAATCTACGTACTTTCTTAGATTTCAGTAACAATAAATTTCAAGAGAACTATTACAAATATGGTGGCATTATTTGCAAAAGGTACATCATTATATATGTTGCACATTAATATTCAATCTTTTTTTTATTCTCTTAAATATAAAAATAAATTTATTAAAATTAAAATAAAATTTAAAATCAAGGCTCCAATTATTTCAATATTAATAAAAGAAGTGAAAAAGGGCCAACGAGCCAAAGCTTGGAA